AACTTATATAGTTCTTAAGTTCTATAGGTCTTATTTATAGCAGCTAAGGATATTAGCATAGGTATTATCTTTGCTAGGCGTATAATAGATGCAGAAGTTAAACAAAGCGAGTTCCTCTACCTATCTTACTTGTTAGGCGTTTAGCACTTTAGTAGTTATAAAGTATTCTAGTGAGCGATGGTTAGAGTACACTTAGACTTGGGAGCGAGCAGAGGCTAATTCTAGTCTTCACTTGTTAAATGCTACAACGATAGCATATAGTTCTTTGTTGTGTATCTCCTAGTTTAGCTCTAATCTAGATAGGACCTTACTAAAGAAAGCTACTAGGCACTATGTTCTATTAGGTTGTTTCTGTAACAAAACGCCAGCTACAACCCCATTAGAGGCGTTAGTCTCCAGCCTAGTATCATACTCTAGGTAGTAGTGATATAAGGTAGGGATAGCAAGCAGTAAGGCTTTTAACCTCTTAAAGGCCTAATCGCAGTCTAGGTCTTATATAAATAGCTTTAATAGGCTTTATAGCGCGATAATAGGCTTTATAATTTATAAGTATTCTTCTATAAATGATTAGTAGAATCCTATAAAGCCAAGGAACAACTTCACACTAGTAATAGTGGTGGGCTAGACCTAGTTTTGGAGGGCTTCAACCTTGTCAGGATCTACCTCTAGGCCTTAGTCTATAAGGATATACCCTAAGTACTTAGTCTAAGTGACATAGAATTCGCTTTTCTTAATGTCTACTTAGAGTCCTACTTGTTAGAGCCTTTCTAGTACCTTGCGGACGTGCTAAATGTGTTCTAATATAGACTTAGAGTATATTAAGATGTTATCTAAATACGCTATGCAGAAGTTGTTAAGGTACTTAATTAACACATTATTTATGTACTACTAATATATTGCTAGACTATTGCATAGGCTAAATAGCAATACCTTAGTCTTATACGTTCTATAGTGGGTGTGAAACGTAGTATACTCCTTAAAGTTAGGGTTTATATAGATCTTGTTAAAAGCCGCGCGTATATTAAGCTTAGTAAAGATCTTAGCCTTATAAGAATAAGCAAGTAGCTTATTAATACGTGGGATTAGATACGCATCCTTGCGTATAATAGCATTAAGCTTGTGATAATCCACGTAGATGCGGAGGTCTCTGTTTAGCTTCTAAATATAAAGGATAGAAGAGGCGAAAGGACTATAGCTTAGGGAAATGTATCCCTTCTAGAGGTTTTTAATAATAAAAGCTTTAGTAGCCTAAAGCTCTTCTATGCTCTGCTTATATAATAGACTAAACTAATTTGGCAGAGGTTTAGTGAGAACGATCTTGTGGTTGTACGGGCGGTGTTTAGAAAGTTAGTTAGTAGCGGTTCTGCTAAACACGTCTTCGTACGCGTGGTAGACGAATAGGAGTTAATCCTATACTAGCTTAGCATTATTAGAATTATCTTTTATTTATCTTTCTTTAAGAATCTAATTAATCTTATAGATGCTTATTATAAAGAACTCGTTTTCCTTGCGTTTTATAGTATAGTAGAAAGCATTAGTAGAAATAAGCAAAATGCAGGTGGATAGAGGCGAAGGAGAGGCAGGTTAGATAAGTTTTAGGGTAGTGTTAGGTGTAGGTAGTAGGGGACGGGCTCTAGAGAGTTAAAGAAGGCTACAGATTCTTTAGATACAGGCCATAGTTGGACTATTCCTTCTCTAATAGTCGTCCTTTTCCTAGAGAGCGTTGCGTCTCTTAATATCCTTCTTAACCTTAGTGTCCATAGATAGCTGTTTTAACTATACTAAAATAGGTAGGGCGGGATTATAAGTTGCTAGGTACTTAGCTAGCCATACGATTTAGTTGCGAACTATATCTAGTTAGAGCTAGAAGCGGCGTAGCTACTTAATTCTAATAATATAATTCTATAATCCTAAGTCTATAATAATAAATAGGTAGTTGTAGATCTTGCGGCCGTTGATTAAGAGGTGCAACTAGATATAGTAGTTAACCCTTATTTGAACCTAATCTTGAAATCCTTTAACTATAATCTTAAAAGGTAGTCTTTAGATAGGAACCTAAAGTGAACTAGAAATAGTACAAGCAATTACAGAATTTAGAAATAAGAACCCTTAGGCTCTAGTATCAACTAGCGACTGTAGGCTAACGCTGTAGCCCTTTAAGCAAAGAATAGTAGAAACTTAGAAGTGCTTTCCTCTAAACAAGTGCGATAGATTAATCTTAGTAAGGTTATACTTGTAAATGCCTAGGGCGGAGCGTTTTCCTAGGCTTTGTTGTTTCCCATCTGATCGTTATCTGGATGATATTCTATGGCTTCCTTGAACACTTCTTCTTCTTGCACTGCTTCTATCTCTCTTACCCGCGGGACTGGGCAGTTGTTCGCGAAGTGTCCAGGCTTGCTATAGTTGTAACAGTTGCCAGGAGTAGCTTAGCTTTCTAGCACTAGTGTCTTTGAGGCAGCCCTAGGTGCACTTAAGAGGGCCCGTGGTGAGGTTGGGGCGGGGTTAGACTTTACTCTATAGGTGGTGGGGCGATACTCCCTTGTGTGGTTAACAGTTGGCTTAGGTTTCGCTGTTGGAGTGTAGGTAGTCCGTTGCTCCAATAGTGATATGATAGGAGCCGATTGTCTTTCTAACTTAAAAGTAGTAAGATGCTTGCATATCTCGTTAAAGGAGCTATTAAAGAAACGCTTAACGGGCATGTTAGGAACACGTAAAGCTAGGCTGATCTTCTACTATAGGTAGAAGGGCCACTCTAGTTTAGATACGTGTCCTTTAATAGCTAGACTAATAAAACGAGCTTTAAATTCTAAGAATAGTTCTCTATCCTTTATAAATAGATAGTGGAAAGCAGCTTAGCTTTCCGCCTACTTGTTGCCAGTTACGAAGTATAATTTAAGCAGCTTAATTATTTCCTCTACGTTTTAGAACTAGTACCTATCCGCCTTAAATAGGTACTTAGGTTTAAGATATCCTTTAGCATCACCTAACGTGTAACTATACACTATTGCTATTTAGCAGCGTTCTGTAGAGAAGTGATCTTCGTTTAATACAAGACAGTCTTCTACTTTAGCTTGCTATTGTAGGAAGGTAGGGTCTTTCCTATCGCTTAATTAGCTAATAGTAGATAAGATAAGACGGCTTAGTTGGCCACGTGGAGCCTCTAGGGTGGTGGACAGGAACCTTAGTAATTAGCTCAGAGGTTGTCCTACTGTTGTTAGTAGGGGTTTAGTAGTAGGTGTAAAGGGCTACGCCAGAGAGGCATGACCTACAGGTCACATAGCAGTGAATTACATGACTTTAGTCACGTGACTAAATGACGTGGTTAGTTACGTACGAACAAGCTTAAGTAAGGAGGAAGACTAAAGGTCTGAGCGTTCGTACGAGTAACAACTATAAAAGGAGGGCCCTCTAGATAGTTCTTTTCTGTATCTTTCTTCTTCTGTACAATAGGTGAATGCATACTCGTTAGTTAGGCCTCTCTCGCCCATAACAGTAGGTACAATATTATTTTAAAGCTCTATATTCTCTTAAGTCAACCAGCGGACTTAGTCCAATAGGCTAGCCATCTATCGCTAGACGTCCTTCATAGAGAGCTCTGGCTCCAAATCATCTTCGTCTTCTACTTCCCGTGGTGGTGAAGTCTCTAGAGATTCCTAGGCTAGCATATTGCTAGCTTTCTTCTCTAGAATGGTTTAGTCCTATATTCAAACTAATTTCTAGGAGGATTCCTTAGAACCTCTAGTTCTTGTAGGGTCAACTATTAGCGATTGCCTCTAAGGTTAATAGGTTATTAGTAGTCTCTGTGTCTCTACCTTAGCGCACTCTACGCGACTTTTCTAAAGTAATCTACCTCGCGAGGAGCGCAGAAGTTCCAAACCCAAAGGCCTTAGTCAACAGGAGATCTATAGGATCCTGCCTAAAATGAATGTCAAATGTAATCGTGTAAGTACTCAGATTAGTTCTAGATAACTTTAGGGCTTAAACGTGATCTCAAACAAACAGCTGCGATATTGTTTAGAAGCCGTCACTAGCTAGGACGAGACTTTTGATATAATGTAACGGCGCAGGTAAGGCAGGTTAGATCTGTTTTAGTCGTAGGATCACTTAGAGTCATATGGGAGTGCGTGGGATTATAAAGAGCCTAGATTTAACAAGCTACCTATAGGCCTTGTACGAAAGGATATTAAAAGTCTACAGAGCTAGCTACAAGGAGTGTCTTAATATATACCTATCCTAGTTGGGTCCGAATTCGGATCCGACCTTGGGCGAATGGCTGATGAAGGGCGGCAGGTACTTCCTCCGATCCGGCTCTGGGATTGGCTCAATACTTGGCGAAGTTGTAACATCGTTACAACTATAGCCTTCTCTTTTAGCTTATCTAGACGCTTTAATTTTAGCTTATAGTTACGTTAAGAGCGCTTTCTAGCGTATTAATTAAATAGAGTTCTTTATAAGACGTTATAGATAGTAGTAGTATAGTTTATACTCTAAACATGTTATAACTAGACGTTAAAAAAAGTAAGTTAAAGATTAAATTTAGAATATATTAATAGATATTTATATTATTAAGACATTATGCATTATAGTAATGAAGTTAATAGGCTAGTAGGGCGTTAGCGACTCGCTTGGGTTAGCGACTCACTTGTGAACCACGTTATACACTGTAAGAGTTTCGAGGAAATCGATAGCTATTGGCTGAAGTAAGCCCTGATCCGATTGGCTCTTGGCGCGGGGACATCACGTATTCTACGCACTAGTCTACTTTTGTACCCTCTACTACAGAAGCCGCCCACCACCACCGCAGCGGCTGCCTACTACTATAGCTGTTGCTGATGCTGCTATTGCCGCTACTAATGAATATATATATATATATATGAGACCATCAAGCTGTAGCCAAAGCTGCCTCTACTTTGGTGCCTGTTTACAAACCAATGACTGTTTATTCACTGCAATGTCCTTGTGCTAACTACACCAGACATGGTCATCCAAAAGAAAAAGAAGAAGAAGAAGCCGAGCACGCGGAGAGTCCAGCCAAAACCAATGGAGCGAAAGAGGCGCGTCATCATGATGGGCAAAAGAATGCCGCCGAGCGACGAGCCCGAGTTGACGATGCCAAACACAGTCCCGCGCTTACGGCAGAACCACGACGTTGTCGATGCCATGCCGGCGTTGAAGAGGGCGCCCGATCCGAGCGAGCTGAGAACCGACTGCGAGAGGAAGATCTGGTAGTATTCAATCGACAGCGACGTCATCATGAGTCCGAGGCAGTATACGGGCGTGCCCAGCACGAGCAGCCAACGTGGGCCGTACGCATCATACAGGCGACCCCACTGATGGTGGTTATACTCATGTCAGTGTGCGGCTCTGCGTGGAAGGGACAAAAAGAGAAACGCACCACGGCCATGCTACCAACCTGGATGAATACCTGCGCACTGGCAATCCAACTGACCGTGCTAGCGCTGTACGACGCTAGAGGCCCATTCTTATAGTACTCGACGAATGTTCCCCCACTGCTGACGAGACCAAAGGTGCAGAACAACGCACACCACGCGCCCACGACTACAAGCCAAGCTTCTCGTCCGCCTTCAGGGAAGTCATCAGCTTCGCTCGCTGCCTCCTCCGTATTCGTCGTCGCTATTTCTTTTTCGGCAACCTCGTTTGGCCTCGGCTCAGATCCGCTAACCGCATGAGTTGAAGACATGTCTTGACAGAAAGTGCTATGATATGTTCGTAATCAAGACCAAGCAGATTTCCACCGAGGTAGCCTTTGACACGAGGTGCCGAGTATTTGTATGTTACCGAGTTTCCCAACGGATGCTTCTTAGGACGGTACCCCAAGTACATACATACGTAGACGGGCGGGACAGGCCTTGCCGGTGGGGTTGCGCGATAAGTACACAACATTGGCACAGAAACCCCTGTCCCGGCCACGTTCAGTCACTTGCAGAATCAAGGCAGAGCCCTCCGTCTATCCCAGCTGGTTCACGTTCCAGATGAGCATTGCCGAGTCAAGTTATCAAATATGGGTAGTGAAATAGAGCACACGCCACGTATTTCACTCGTTTCGTTTCTGTTCCTAGCCCTCTGGCCAGTACAGGTTGATGAGAATTGTACGTATTAATGTCTAGTATCTGCACTTCCAGGCCGAGTGCTGCAACGCCACAATTCGTCGATGCCCGCATTTTACAAATCCAACACGACCATCTCGGCGTGCTTCAAATCCAAAACCGTTGATCCATTTAACTTGTCTACTGCGGCCGTGGCTGCCGCCGTGTCGATGCGGTAAGGAGGGATACAGCTGAGCAAGACGAATCAGTACACGGTTCCCATGATGGTACTGTGATTCAGATGGCGACCACGAACCTTTCATCATGAAGAGCCCAAATCACAGTCGACGGGTTCCCAAGCCACTCAACCTCCATCGCAGCAAATTAGGCCGCCGAACCATCAAACGGTCGTCCGTTAAGGTTGGCTCTTCCAGCAATAGCCAGGATAGCAACATCTGGCTTGGGTTGCATGTCCTTCATGACACCCTCGTAGGCGCCAAGATGGGCATTCCAGAGCATAGCCTTGCCTTGGACGACAAAGTTGGACATTAACTGACCACCGTCACAGTGGGAGAATACATTACGTTCCCGATCACCGACATACTCTACAAAGGAGCGTTGGCCGTCGCTGAGCTGCTCGGGCGGGACCAGCTCACCGAGACGCAAGAGGCCATGCTTCATCCCAAAAGTGATGTCGAGGGAACAGGTGTATGGAGTTGCCGAGCCCGTGTAAACCGTGGCCGTGTCGATGACCTCGGGATGGTCCTGGGGCATCAGACAGTGCAGCGAGGGCCACACATGCACAGCAAGGGCAGCTAGTGTATCAACTGGGAAGATGGGGCCACCGGGGGGCCCTGAAGCCTGCATGGACGGATCCTGTCGGGCTTGCTGGCGAACTGCGTGGGTGAAAAGTGGTATCCGCTCGCCGCCAGCCACAGGAATAAGCTGCTCCTCTGGGACGCCCGCCTTGCGGAGACAGTGGATGGCTTCGCCATTGGCGATTACAATGGCACCGGTTTTTGTGGCGATGCGATCGGCTCCAGGCAGACTTGGCAAGCCATTAGCATGCTGTGTATGAAAGAGGCCAGTGGCTTACTGGTCAAAGTGAGCATGGGAGATGAAGATGTAGTCTGTCTATGTAACGTCATCCACGGCAAGATACTTGGGCAGAACCGAGGGCCTTTCCAGCCAGGTGTCCAGGAAGATGGTGACACCTCTGGTACAAAGGCGAAACGTTGTGGCGCCTGCATGTCATCAGTACACAAGTACTTATGTGCGAGCATGCAACGACAGGGGGAGACGTCACCGAACCACTCGATGGTTGTCTGGCCAGTATTAGAAGTCTTCATGTCCCCCATTGTGGCTGTCAGGAATTGACAGAGAGTCAAGGTGTAGGTACTACGTTATGAATGAAAGGCAAGTCCGGCACGAGGAACTAAGTAAGCAAGTATGTAACGGGATGAGGAGCACGTGCACGACGTCTTTGTTCAACCAGGCCATGGCGGAGGCGCTTATCACAGCGCCCTGAGAGCTCTATACGTACATACATGAGTATTTTCCCTAACTGGCGGTCCCTCTCTGCTGCCGACGGGGGTGGGGCCAAGACGAGGCCGGTGGGGTAGGTAAGTAGATCCATGCTCACTCGTCCGGAGTCAACCGCCACCTTTCCCCCACACTTATTCAAGCCCATCGTGAGCGAAGATTTTCCAAGACTGCAAACCCCACCACGCGCGCTCTCTCTCTCTCTCTCACGCGCGGCTCATGTGGGGTCGATGCCAGTGCACTCGCAATCATTGAGGTAGGCAAGGCAGCTGAACATGGCGCCTGACCCGGTGAGCCTCACATGCGAGCACTGCGGAGATACATTCCTGCGAAGATAGCACTGGAGCCGCCATCTGCGGAGGCACTCCGGCGTCAAGCCATTTCAATGCGAGGTTTGCGGCAAGTCCTTCGCCCGGAGGTGCGTTATGCGCAGGATTGCACGTCCTGGTGCTTGAATACACAGCTACCCGCGTGCCATCTTGCTAACCAGAAACATGGTCGTACTTAGGGACACGCTCGTGCGCCACAGCAGCATTCACCACCATGGACATCAGGCACACAGCACACCACGCCGCTGCGCCCATGCTTGTCTCTCCTGTGCCCGGCTCAAGCAGCGTTGTCGGGGGGGTCTTCCATGCGCGCGTTGTCAGCAAACCGGGACCGAGTGCACTTACAGCAAAGCAAAGCAGACTCCCGTCACTACCGGCTCCGTCTCGCCTGATCAACATCCAAGCCATGCCAATACCCAGACCACCGCGCTACACGTGACAAATAGTCAGCTACCAGAAGCTGCTGAGCAGTCTGCTTTGCACCACACTACCACCAACAGCCAAGGTCACCTTTCGTTTTCTCCCACAGCGGCCACGCACCCAATCCCCGTGCCCGCTGCCTTTACCCCTTCTTCACTGCATAGTGATCCTACTCTCTATGCATCCGATCAATGGAGCTCCTCTCTGTCTCTCCATGGAGACACTGTGGTGAATGAATTCGCCGCTGGGTGGGATGCTATGACAGCTTACTTTCCCTTCTGCCTAGTACCCGAAGGGCTGGACCATGTTCTTGATACTCCACATGACATGGAAAACCACAACCACCAGTGTGGCATCGAGATGCATAGCCACTCCTCAGGCTATCCTCTGCAGGGCCAAGCAGCGCGGGCCCCCTCAATTGAGTGCTTGAATCAGACTGTGTCAGACCATTCCCCAGATCTGCATCCGGCGTCTCCAGCCGCGAACAGCTTCGGTTTACACGGCAAGCCTCCATGCAGGCAATTCCCACAGACCCAAGACAACCACATGCAGACCGCCGAGGCTGAGATATTTGGGCACGTCCACGATATCTCTCCTCGCGCATATCAAGACCTACAGAACTTCTATGCAACGCAATGCTGGGACAGTACATGGTCTTTTGTTCCTGTGCGCCTTCTTCAAGCCTTTGTCGATCTCTACTTTGAGTACTTCGACCCCCAATTCCCCTTTTTGCACGTCTCGCATCTAAATGCTGAAGAGGTACCTTGGATGTTGCTCTTGGCGACAGCGGCTATTGGAAGCTATTACTCTGAACTTGACGATATACATGACTATACCTCGATACTGTGCGACTTGCTGGGCAGGGCGGTGGACAGCGAAGTACCTTGCCATCTCAACCCTACTTTTTTCTAACGTGTGCTGACTGGCCCCTGCAGGCCATGGTGCAGATCAAGCGACCTAGCAAGCCCCTCATTCAGAGCACTTTCTTACATCACATCCACCTTTCGTCCTGCGGTTTGCACAAAGCGATGATCCTATTTCACCATAAAAAAACATGCTGATTTCCATGTGCTACGACATGTTGTCTCGAAGGGGCATTGAGAGAACATCTCAGGAAGGCACCCTTACTCTACGTGAGGAGTGGGCAGGCTGGCTGGCAACGGAAGAGGAAACACGACTTCTCTGCTGCGTCTATAGTCAGTCTGGGTGTCTCGTTTCGCATGCCTATGGTAGTACTAATAACTCATAGTGCTCCAATGTATCCACTTTTTCTTTACTGGTATCCCCACAGACTTCAGTCTGTTCGATATCTCGCAGCAAGTGCCCTGTCCTAGTCGCATTTGGTATTCCACAGACATCAAAGACTGGAAGTCGAAGCAAATGGAGTTACAAGGTTCGTAAGAACTCACAGGGTACTAGGGGCTCACGCCTTGACTGATTTTCTGTAGCTGTCCGATTGCAGCCAGAAGCGTCCGAGGGGGCCCGGACACCTGAAACGGATAGCGATCCCTTCCTGTCAAAGATTAACTTACTGGCACTGTACGTTAACGAGAAAAATCTCGAAAGGCAACAACACACATCACGGCGAGTGATAAAATCTTTCGGCTCCCACCTCAGAGCCATGAGTCCAAGAATCTCCAATGCTCCCGTCAGGCATTCTTTCATCGAAGACAAGAATGCTAGTATCGATAACCCGCTTTTGGATGAATCCATCGACCACATCGTGTTTTTGACGAGGGAACCAGGTCGTTGCCACGGATCTCTTCCTCACATCCTGGCTATTCTCCGGTGCATCTCCTTGCGGACCTTGTTTGCGGGTACCGGCTGGCAAACCGACACAACTCAGATGACAGAGATGAAGACCAAGTTTAGAGAGTTTCTAGAGCGCGACGGACCGCAGTCAAGGAAGTGCCTGTGGCACGCCGCGTGCATTTTCAAGTCGGTGCAGACCACAAGGCATCTGGCATGCTACGACATGTTCAGTGTTGGGGTTGCCACTTGCTACATTATTCTGTACATGGAGCTACGACGGATGGAGTTCCCGTCTTCGCAGACAATATCAGACGCCTATCTTGGGTCGTGCGCAGCCGCGGCGCCGCCGCGACGTATAGTACGGCTCGATCAGATCTCTAACCGAGAGGATGTTCAACATTGGGTCAGAAGTGGCGGGGATACTGATATCCACTTGACCAACGTGGGAATCTTACGCGGTCCGGATTCCCTTGCACGCTTCCTGCGAGCGACCGAGAATGCTCTGTTGCGCCAAGTCGCCTGGAATGCCTTTTCCAGAGCCTGGGCCAGAACGACGGCTCAACATATACACGGAGAAAAGCCTACAGTACACACCGACGATTATAACGAGGCAAAGGAAAGCAAGTCTTGAACAAGGACGGGGATGAAATGACTCTGGCAAGCGATCTTTCAAGCGGGGATCATCTATTGATGGACTCGGAAATCGCTACGGCAGTTGGCAAAACATTGGAGGAATGGTCTGGCTGCAGAAAAGCCGAACCAGCTCTATTCTAGGGTTATCGATGGGCCTACTCAGGTACAACCACTAGTCATACATGACATTGCCCACCTCGGCCAAAACTATGCATATGATCACTGATACTCGCTCCTTAACGTATCCGAAACCCAGCTGCTGTTTAATCTAACCGTCAGCGTATGCACATGGTCAGAGGCGCCATAGTCTTCATATTCTTTGTCCGGCTTGTCTAGTTCCATGCACATCCAGTGTGCGCTTACTCTACACCCCTGGCGAAGCAGTCGTTCTTTGGCCCCTATCTAACATGGGAAGTATGCCTAGCTTTGCACGCGGGTATGGCTTTGTCAAGTGGTAAAGGTGTTTCGAGCCTTGACAATATGACATTTCACTCTTACTATACAATAGTACTGATTGTGCTGATACTCACCTACATGAGGTTATATAATGGTTTTTGAAGTATATTATGCACACTCTATCCTTAGCATTGTGCTGACATAGCAAAATCGTGCTCATTTAAACGCTCTTCACAAATGTCTAAAACTCTGGTGCAGTGTATAGCAATTGCTAACTCTGATTAGGTGATTTGCTCACTCGCTGAATCATGGAAGCATTTCATACCTGAATGAATCGATTGTTGGAATTTGTTGTAAGGCCTGATTGAATGACGTTTTGGATTTTCTAGCTCAAGAATTAATTGTTTTGGTCATATGTAACTCATCGACCTATAGCAAGTACTTCTCTATAGGATGATCATCGCATAATCGATGCATAGAGTCTAAATCAGCGTGTGTTTTCGTTACTGAGGCAGCACCGCCGACTTCACCCGCGTCAGCCCTATACTTCTATTCTCTTGCTCTCATATTGAGATAGCAGATCGGGTTGATAAACTCATGGAAATAACCAGCAAATCCATTTTTTTGTCCCAGTCTTCGATATATCTATAGTTTTGTTCCAGAAATACGATTTGGGCCACATATCATATCGTTAAGAAACGGAAGGGCTATCTCCACAGCTTCTACTGCCATACCAAAGCCAGCCTGGTAGCCTGTTCCACCCGCCCCGTAATTATGCACAACGATTCGGCCATCAGAGCGAGCTTCTTTTTCGATGCGTGCTCCTCCTGAACGTCCAGGTCTGAGACCTGCGAATGTGGCCAGGATCTCTGTCTCGGGCACATCCAAAGATGGCTCCAACATTGTCGTTCGTTTCCAGATGGAATCCGCCTCGTGGGAAAATGTATCACCGTTACTGCAGAATTTGAGTACAAGCCTTACTTACACAAAATGATCGTGTGTACTCACCCGTTGCCCTTTTGCATGTATCCTCCAAGGACCACATTGCCATTTGAAAAAGGCCTTGGAATGATATAGGTCTCATAATCCTTGCCATGGCGCATGATGTTTGTGTTGATCTGCGGTGCTTTTGCAAGCAAAATTTGACCTCTTACAGGGAAGCACTTCTTGTCCTCAACACCAGGTAAATGCCGCGCGCCGTTCCCAATGCAGTTGAACACAACCTTCGTATTTTCACTCAGAAAAGCGGAATCTAGATGCTCTAGCTTTCGCCGAAGGAACTTGACACCACGTGCTTCAACCTGACTCCTGAGATATTGGATGTGTTTGGGAGCATTGATAGTTACTGTAGTAAAAGAGATGCCAAACTGGACACCTGTTATGAGTTTGTGCGAGGGCAGTACTGTGAACTTTATGACGTTTTAGCTATGGCGCTATAAAATACTTCAGGGCGCACTGACATCTTCTAAGTAGTCTGCAAGCGACTTGAGCTTTTGCTCAGCAGGCCTTTCATCCCAGAATTCGAATGATTGCGTCTTCTTGATAGCAGCAGCGGGTCCATCTGTAGTTGCAAGCTTCATGAGGCGTTTATACCCCGCCTTATCCCAGATTAGAGCATTTGTATCAGCTCCAGATATTGCAGAAAAATTTGCGCCCGCCCTGCTTGTGTAAGCTCTATGCCATAGGCAGACATGCGACGTGATGAATGACATACCATGGTGAGGTGTACTCGATAGAGGTATCTCCCGGCAAATGTTGCGCGACGATGGTTGTATAATTTCCATATCCATTCTCTGCAAGGATGAGAGCAACATCTAGTCCTATCACCCCAGATCTACATCAAATTCAGCATGCAGACGGTCCAGGGGGGTCGTGAGAGCAACTTACCCAGCAATCACTATTGAGCTTTGCATGTTCGTTGCCATTGCTATTTCAAGGTATCTCGCATTGCTGATGCAAACATGTCCGAGATCTACTACTTGTTTGGTGGCTTTTATACACACAACACCGACTCTTTATTCTTTTAAAGCACAAGAAGTTGGTTCGCGGCATTTCAGCTGCGCGTATTGGTCACCACGTCACTGGCTAGTCGAGCACAAGGCCCGTCGGTCTTTCCGTCAAGTTTTCCGTTCTCTTTTTCCACTGCGGAGTGAGCTTGGCGCTTGAACTTTCTTATCTTCTGAGTTCCACTGTGTGTGGATCCAGCTACTAGTCGATTGAGTTGGTAGGGCTTCATGCAAAATTCAAACTTTGTGGACTCTCGGTCCGATATGCTGATAGGAGCGCACGGGTTGTCAGACTTGGCATTCCTATCAGATCCGCTGTGTTCAGGATAGTCAACTAGTGTGCACAAGGATATTCCGCTGTCCAGACGGGACAGCAGAAATATCTTCCAATATTGACAGACCATCGCTTTTTGAGAGGTTGGCTACAGGGCCGGTAATCTCCCCTCAATCCACCACTTCAATTTGACTACCGAAGAATACGATAGCAGAAAACATGACCATAAGGATACAGCCATTACCAGTCGAGGTATCGGGCAAAGTTCATCAGACCCCGAAACAGTGGCTTCAAAGACTTGATCCCGAATGGGTTCAAATCTGGAATGCACATGGGGGACGCCACCGTCAAGCTGAAGAAGTACCAATCGAAGAGGTCCGCCAAAAGCCTTTAGCATACAGTTTCACATACCCAACATGGTCAGGCAAGTATTGCGCTGTACCCTAGATGTTTCATCTGCTGATAGTAAACAGGCCCTGCTGTAGCCAAGGAGAAAGAGGTTGAGATACCCGTTACCCGACCAACTGGTTACATCAAAGTTCGCGTGTACACACCGGAGGGAGAAGGGCCCTTTCCCGCACATTTAAACTATCATGGAGGTAAGCAAGACCACGACTCGAAATGTATCTATCTGATATCAAGCCAGGAGGATGGGTTCTGGGTGGCCTCAATAGTGAAGCTGCCTGGTGTAGAAGTGTTTGTAACAACACTGGTATCGTGGTCGTCGACGTGGATTACCGCCTCGCTCCAGAATTCATCTTTCCTACAGCCGTATACGACTCTTGGGATGCACTTCAATGGGTCATATCTCATGCTGCGGATTTGAGCATCGATGCTACTAGGGTTTCGATTGGCGGACTCTCAGCAGGTGGTCAGATATCAGCAGTCCTTTCGCATATGGCGCGCGATGCAGGATTACAACTCAAACTCGCATTGTTGGTCGTACCGTCCACGGACTTCAGGTGGCTTATCGCTGAAGAGCCCGTACGATCAGCAGTTGCCAAGTTGTATCCCAGTATAGCACTTTACAAGAATGCACCATGGGGAGGCCTAAAAAGAGAGCAATGGTTTTTGGATTATTGGATTCCAAAGGGTACGTTTCAAGCGCCCTTGCTTAATAGGCCTCACCAACCAATATGGGTCAGGAATAAGGAAAGCTGCATGCCATGATTGGCTAGCTTCACCGATGCTGGCAAAGTCGTTTGATGGACTGCCACCAACACACATCATAACAGCCGAATTCGACATATGTCGAGATGAAGCGCATCGGTACGGTGAGTTGCTACGAAAAAGCAAAAACCGCGTAACTCAGAAATGCTACCTGGGGGTGCCACACGCGTTCGGGCACTATACTCATCCTGAAAAAGGCTTGAGCAAAGCGCATGAGTACATCCAAGACACTTCCAAGATCTTGCGACAGGCACATGGGCTTTGTTGTGACACCTAGTGTAATACTTTGGCTGGCTCTTCCAGAAGCATTAATCGCATTTAAGCACATGAAAATGTAAAAAAGCCGTTAGGTCATCATGTGATGTGTCGAGCTTGTTTGATTGTTGAATGACCAAGATTGAATAGTGATGATTGACCTATTCGCATTATCCTTCGCAGAGTCTGTTTGTATTAGCAGTTTTACATATATACGGATATATAAGTATAGATATAAGACTTACAAGCAAAAAAAGTTCTATTACAAGACAAGCCTCGTTTAAGAAATGATTATATATAGATCCTCAAACATCTATTACATCAGGCTCATCTTTAGGTGCATACTTGCCCGTCTTGAGGGAAACATGGTTCTCTATCTTTTACTCATCCGCTTCTCTATTACAACTCCTACTTTTCTTCAAACATCCTTTTGCACGTGTCTATAATATAGATGTACAAAGTATTTACTCCTTATCTGCCTTAATTAACAAGGATACTATATTGTCGTACTGCGCACGTTGCTAGGTTGCAGGTGGGACAATAACGATTGCTGCGATAGATGGAAGAAAGTCATCACCTTTTCCTAAGTTCATAGCTAAAAAGCAGTGACTATTCTGTCTACTTTCTTGCCTACCATCACATTGCAAGTTACAAGCCTGTTGCATGATTTCTTTCGGCCGCAGTGCTCTATTGCTACTGTAAAATTTGTATTCTTATATCACTTGTTGCGTATCATTAAATTTCCAACAGCAGATCTACATAAATCACAACTGTCATTTAGGGTACCTACTCTACTTACAGCTAGTCGAGTGTAAGTAAGTGCGAAGCGCTGATTGGCGGCATCCACAGCTAGCGGCATCGGCTCCGATCGGACCCGCCACGCTTTGCTCAAAGGGCCGGAATCTTTCAGGCCAGAAGACGGGATATCGCGGGGCAGGCGATAAGAGCAGCTACAGCTATCGTCCATCGCGATAAGCCCAAGGATATACCAGAAGACAGGGCGGAGGGACCATGTAGTCTGAGATCATTGTCACACATCTGTCTTTGTCTTTTTCATCCAACTTTGTCAGTCTCTTTTGTGCGTGTGCGTGTGTGTAGGTATGCATCACAACACGATGACGGGTATTACTTCGACTCTGAAAGTGCATGATGACGAATTGAATCGTGGCAATGATGCCAGTGTCAATGGACCTGCCCCAGGTATCGAAGCTGGCGCATTACGGCGCGTACCTGATCGCATTCCGTGGGTTGTGTTGCTCATTTTGAATGTTGAGCTGGGCGAACGTTTTACCCATTTTGGCTTGAGTGCGCCCATCCAGAACTACATCAAGTACGTACCCAACAAAGGCCGGTATTCATACGGGCCATGTGCTTGGACGATATCAAAATGAAGACGATTACTCAGCACTTCTTGCCAGAAATCCACATAACCCACACTCGGACCTCCCCGGTGCCCTTGGCCGTGGTCAAGCTGTCGCCACAGCCCTAGGAAACTTTTTCAAATTTTGGGCCTACGCGTCAACCGTCATCGGCGCCATTATCGCAGACCAGTATCTCGGCCGCTTCAAGACCATCGCCCTCGCATGCGGGATCTACATTATCGGTCTCGTAATTCTCGTTGCTACCTCTACGCCCGAGGGAATCCACTCAGGCGCCGGTTTTGGCGGACTGATTGCGGCCATGGTCGTCATTGGGTTGGGCACTGGCAGCATCAAGGCGAATGTTACACCCATGTGCGCAGAGCAGTACAAACCCGATACGGCGTATACGAAACAGTTGGCCACTGGCGAATGGGTTGTTGTGGATCCCGAATTGACTGTCGAACGCATGTTCAATTGGTTTTACTGGGCGGTCAATGTCGGGGCGCTCTCGCCGCTGATCACAGTCAATGTCGAGGCTCATGTAGGGTTTTGGGTTGCATATTTGATTCCATTGGTGTATGTCGATTTGTTCCTTTTTCTTCTTTATGGTGAGGTTACTGACGGCTACAGCGTCATTGTCATGGCTGCAACGGTCTTCATCCTCAGTGGCCGGCTCTTCATTCAAACACCGCCTCATGGCTCGGCCGTTGTTGATGCTGCCCGTATAGTGGCCATTGCCGTAAAGGAAGGCGGTTTCGATAAGGCCAAGCCAAGCGCTTTGGAGGCTCAAGGCACTCTTTCGCGCTATCACTTTGCAGAGTCCCCCAATTATACCGACAGGTCTGTCAAGGAAGTACAATCGGGCATCACTGCGTGCAAGGTACATCTACCTCGACTCGTGACGTTATCCAGCTAACACATTCGTAGTTCTTCCTCTTCCTTCCTTTGTACTTTGTCTGCTGGATTCAGATTTGGAACAATCTCATCTCGCAAGCGGGAGACATGGCCCTACACGGTACGCCAAACGACCTCTCGCAAAACCTCGACCCGATCGCTTTAATCATCTTTATCCCGCTATTAGATTGTGAGTGTGGTGCAACAGCAAGAGCGATAAATTCAAATGGAAACTTGCTGACCAGACCCAAAGTCGTCATATACCCGCAGCTTCGGAAATATAAAATAAACTTCAGTCCAGTTCTAAGGATGACAGCTGGCTTCATCATGGCGTCATTTGCCATGGCGTACGCAAGTGTACTCCAACATTACATTTACAAGTCGCCGCCGAACAGCATCCACGTATGGATCCAAGCTCCGGCTTACATTCTCGTCGCCTTTTCTGAAGCCTTTGTCATCATTACCGGTTTGGAATTGGCGTATACGAAGGCACCCTCAAGGTAGGTTGCACAGGCAAAGGTGCAGCCCGTCACTTGTACTGATGTATCATAGTCTGCGCTCTCTTGTCTCCGCCTTGTTTTGGCTGACCATTGGCATCGCTGCCGCCATCTGCATTGCCCTCGCACCCGTATCGCAGGACCCATATCTCGTATGGATGTATGGCTCTCTTTCCATCGTTGGCTTCGTTGCAGGATGTGCCTTGTATATTTGCTTTCGAAACTCGTTCGAGGAGGTGTCGGTCATTATAGGCACTGAAGCGGAAAATGAGGTCGATGTGCGCATGATCATCAAGCATGCCGAGAAATTTGCCATCGAGGAAGGCCACAAGCGTGCCGAATAGTCGACTTGTCAGCTTCTGTTGGACTTTGTAATTTGAAATGCCAGAGTGTTTCTTTGGACGATGTACAGCTGACCATCATGCATATCGCTGTTCGACACTCACGTTTCTTGCAATTTAGTCGCAAAAGCATTGTCAAGGCCTTTTTAGAAGATCGCGTCGATGCGTAATAACGAGAACCGCAAGATGTTCAATGATTTTGATTGTAATCGGACAGCACGGCGGGCGTGATCGAGAAGAGCCCTGCATTCTTGTGCCTCTTCAGGACTGTCTGCTGTCACGTGAAGCAGGAGTGCAAGATTACACAAGGTTGACCAACCCAGCGTACACCCTAAACTGTGTGATTAGCAACCAAAGACTGATCACATAGTATTGGTTACTTACAGAAAGGCCAAAATCCGTGAATGCAGTTGCTCTTGACATTGGATGTGAACGCGACAAAGCTGATGACACATGCTTTTGCTCCAGCCCGTGACAGGCGGCGCGCTTCAAGCTCACGATGCTTATCAACAGAGCCGTCAGACTCGGCGCTATACCTCAAACAACTAAACGGCCTGAGTATGGCTCGGAAGAGAAGTACTTTGACGAAGTGACCGCCGAGAAGCAATGGCCCCGATGGATCGATGTCCTCAGCTTGCGACTCACCCTGCATGTCAGTGGCAGCGCTGGACCAGCGATTCATTTCTTCCATTAGGGTCTGCGCCTTGCGCAATGTGTCTTCGTAGTCTCTTGCAAGGGTCTGGACCGCTTTTAGGGCACTGCAGATGTTAGTCTTGTATTAGTAATTAGTCGATGGCTGGACAAGATTACAATAGGGTCGTTAAAACGGTGTGCAGGATATCAGTAAGCTTGTACATGTGTATGAAGTGCGCAGGAAACGTAGCCTCGCATTCTTGTTGCGAAAAGTCGCTCAGAAATGGTGGTGGAACAGGCCACTCCTCATCGTGTATGAGGCAACTCCGACCCAAGACAGCAGCGTGCCAGACATCAATCATCTTTACAGCCCATGATAAACGCTTTCTGAGCTGAACCTCAGCAGGTAAGATGTCCCAAGAAGTAGGGTCGAAGTGCAAGCCTAGTGTCTGTGAAACAGCCACCATTATGCCAACGAGTGACCATTTTGTCGAATATTCTGGCATGAGGGGCTTATGCGGCGGTGAGACGAGCAGCAGAATCAAGGTTTGCAGTGTTGAAAAATCCGGCTTATGCAGTTCCCGGTGCACCACCTCTAAAGCAAGGTCCCATAGCTTTTCTGTATAGGGGAGATCATATGCTATTTGAACGGAGAGATAGTCGTCGAAACTGGCGAATGGTAGGGTCACAAGATATATTGCGGCAAGAGTAGAAGGATTTGATCGTCCAGGCTCTGTTGATTGCTCTTGAGGAAGTATTGGGAAATGGGGATATACGAACCGAAAGAATCTACTTGTGTCAGCTCAACTGGGGCAGAATTATCTTGGGCTTGGTACTTCGTACAAAGAGACCAATCTGACACCCACATCATGAGTCACAAGCCTCTCTAGCTGTTCGCGATAAGAGTGACCGTCCTTGTCACTCTGCTCCATCGGGTCTGTGATATTTGAGACTAGGAGCTGAACGGGATGGATATCCTGCGTCATTGAGCGAACAGTCAGTCGCTTGAAGACGAAGTTGTTGTCCAGGCCAAAATTGTATTTTTGCATAAGGTATGGGTCCATGTCCCCAGTAAGGCCGCAAACTATGCTTGCGGTCTCGAGCCCTTGTGCCGACGAAGACGAGAGCCGCAGATTGTCCATGGACTTCTCGTTGGGGGGAGTGCTAATGCAGTTGAAGTCGTGTGCATTGATGTCGATCATGGCCTGGTCAAGCCAAAAGTCGGCCGATGAATCTGGCAATTGGCGTGGGAAGAGATGGCCCTGCTCGTCGAGGAAGGCATTGTTAGAGCCGACACCGTCATTTTGCTGGCCTGCAGCCACAAGGCTGGCTGAGTCTTGTAAAGAGTTGGTCGGTGATAGATGCGTTGCGGACGGTGCAGACGCGCGTGTGATCTTGGATGCGGCCTCAAATGTGCACTCGCGGCGCGAGAGATGACATAGCCGACACGGCGGCACAGAGTCGATGCGGCATGCGCTTTTCCGCGCCCTGCAATGGTCACATGCCCGCTGCGACTTGCTCATATATTTCCGCATGTTGCCCAGTCATGGAAGAGGAGCGAAAAGTGCGAGTTGCTCATCCGTGGCGTTATCAGGTGGCAAAAGTGAGCTTGGGCACGGACGCATCCCACAAACTCGCCCTCATGTCTTCACGCCCTTTACCGAAGCATATTACCTAATACTGCCTATCATCCCACATGTAGCCCGACCGTTGGAATGGGCCTGTGGCTCATAGCCACAGATTCTTGCGCTCTACTTCTCTGGTCAGCCTTATCGGTATTTGGTTGAAAAATTCTCATTAACTGATATATTGTGCTTTAGAATGAGGACTTAAGATCGCAAGTGGGAGGCTGCTGATCAAAGTGAATTTCATGGATGAGGCCTCGTATCTGCCAAAGACTCTTGCTCTTTGCACATATCAATCCTCCATATTACTTCCCATATGACGTCTATCAGGTACGCGGTACACTAAGCTACAGCCATCTTCTACCAGGTGCGCTACTGCGTCGTAAAATCCCCGGTGTCAGCACGTTGAAATCGTGGGTCAAACGAATATCATGAATGCGTGGACGAGTTGAAGCATGTATACGAGCTAGTCAAGCTAACTCGGTGGCAGAAAAATACTATTATCCTCAAACCCAAAACTACCGTACGTGGGCATACTACTATCGAAACCCCAATCCCAGTTATCCTGGAAAAGCGGTGCTATAGGATCTCCTTGTACGGCCTCATGATCATCTGTAGTAGTAAACATGCTCTCAGGATTTCTATCAGTAACATCTTGGGGGCCAACTGATGGTCTGCGCGAGGCAGTACGGGATGCTTCTATAGAGTTGCGCATCGCTGCGCACGGAGAGGGAGATTAGCTATTATAAAATAAAACATATTGCTAGAAACCATAGCAAGAGAATGAAGGGGTATCCTACAGGGGTTGGCAGAGCGTGCATGATTCCTTAGGAGAATGAGGTGCTCTAAGCAGCCTCTCGCGCGAGCATTTTCCTTTCCAATAAGCCGTAGTAGCGTCGTCGTGTTCTCCCACGTGGCATCGAGATTTCCCTGGTTAAAGTGCTTATTATTATTATTATTATTCTAGTTTAACGTCCTTTTTCAGCCCAAAGGGCTATATAAGACGTGTAGGGTTTTTAGGCCTACAAGTATCTAAGTAGGTTGTTTCTAGCTACAATATTTAGGAGGGGTTTTAACTAAATAAAGGTAAGGCTCGTAGCCTATTAGTTAGTAGGTAGGGGGTGGGATAGGGTGGGGGAGGTGTATAGCTACCTGTTATAGGTATTACTCCTCGTTTTCTGTGTTTCCCTTGTACCAGGCTTATGTCCTAGCCTTTGTTTCTTAAATAAAGGTAATAGTTGCTTCTATACCCTCTTTTGTTTAAAGAAGGATTGTAAGGGGCTCGACCCCGGAGGGTAGTCTTAAGCTCGGGAGCACGATCGGACAGGCCAAGGTAACAAGATTGTATTCGATAGAGAGCTAAGCTCTCGGCTACGTAGCTATCTATATACAATGCTGGTTGCTAGGGTAACAATCGGGCCGGGCAGGTGGAGTAAACGAGGTCGTA